GCCCGGAGTCCTTCGGGATTGGGCGGCCTATAAATTTATTAAACATCAACATCAAACATCAACCCAGTTGGAAAGTCTGAGGGTGGAAAGGGCTGCACTAGAACTTCACGTGAGCTGCAGTTGTGAAACCACATTACACTGTATTTATTCACAAACTTTGGATGTAATTCTACTCTTCCTGTTCACCCATCTGCAGTGGCTGCCAGCCAGTTCCACCACGTAGTTATCAGGCAATGAAATCAACGTATTAGGCTAGGGATGGATAAGCTGAGGCTTAAGGGCTAAAGTTGGGTGCATAGCCTGTGATCTTTCAGCTATTGCTGAACTGCAGTTCTTTCATCCTTTGTTACTGTCCACACACTGATTGAGACTGTTGAGAGTTGTAATTCAGCAGTATATACATGATCGGAAATCGTGCAGCCGTGCCAAAATCTTTGGCTGCTGCTGCCAAATTTGCTCCAAATGTGCCAATCACCAACTTGTAAGTTTTAAAAGGATAGAATGGAAAAATTAAGTACCTTGGAATTAATCGGTTCTTAATCTTAGTTAAACGTTAATTAAGTTAAATGTGTTTATCCCAACCCATTCATTTTAAGGATAACAACCCACAGCACTCTGAAAAGTCTTGAGTTAGTTGTCTCCACTTGAATCTATAAATACAGCTTGCAAATTGTAATTCTTATCTTCATGTATCAAGTGATCCATAAAGCAGCATGTGTGAATTTAGCCACGGTCAAGGAATTAAGTTTTATAATCCATGGAGTTCTAGTAATCCATTTGTTTAATAAGTAATTCACCATGAGCAAATAGAGAATTAAAATAACTTGAATCATTTCCCTTGAGATAACTCACTACATGCAACAATCTCAAAATTTTCAATAGTATTGTTTTGTCATTTTAGGTTATAATCCAGTATAAGATATAATTTTAGGACATTAAAGGTGGAAAATGGAAGGAATTCTGTTAAGCTCAGATTTCCTTTATAAATGATGCAACTGAGTATGAGACACTAGATGTCAATATAGAATTAAAAGAAAATTTAAATACAAACTGAAGAGTTGTAAGCATCACTATAGGATAATGTCTATTTGCAGAATTTCCCTTCTTCAGACTGAACGGATGGCTTTTGCCAACCGAGACCCTTCAAATTCGTGTTAATTATAAGTGAAGCAAAAAGGGGAAGAAAGTTTGTCGTGCCCTCCTCAAGTAGTTTTTCAAATTATTTTTCCTTTGTGGCATTTCTTTTTTTCTTTTTGGAAATTTTTTAATTGTTTTAATTAAACAAAAACACACACAAAAAAAGAATCATCCTTCGTTACATCTTGTAGAAAGTGTATCGATTGGTTCCAAATACATTCTGTGCGTTTCTTCCACGGTTCCACCACAAATGCGCGCACAACAAAAGCGCGCCTGACTAACCCGCGGTGTCTAAAGCGCGGTGACAAAACCGCG